TGTGGAACAGGCCCAAGCTGTCAATTGGACATCCTTAGCACTGCTGCAGAGGCAGGGAGGTGGGTGGAGGCAGGGAGGTGGTAGAGGCTCCTGCCACCACTGCTATGCTTGCCAGCCATCAGCCTGGCTTGTGGCTGAGCAGTGCTCCTACTGCAGGAGTGCACTGACCACCAGGGGGGAGCTTCTGTGTTAAGTGTCTGCCCCCTGGTGGCTGCCTCCTGCACACCTCCTATTGGAGACGTGCCCTCAACCAAGGTACATGCCTTTGACTGGAATTGAACTTTGGACCTTTCATTCCAAAAGCTGGCACTCTATCCACTAAGCCAAACCAGTTAGGGTCCAAAGCTCAGGTTTTAATCTCTAAAAAATTTCAGGAGTAAGTTGTAAACTTATCAAAGAAGAAAACTTTTAAAGTATGGTGCTTCAGCTTTGTTTGGTCCTCTTTTACATATGTTTAAATTGACCTCATCTACCAAATTTACATGTCTTTCAATTTTGATCACATATTTGCTTTTCCAAAATTATTTATATTTTCTTTTTAAATGTTGCTCTTCAGTTTCAAGAAGTATCTCTGTAGGTTTTCCTTTTATTGTTTTTTGTTTTTACATTTTCCTTTCCATATATGAAGATATATGGGATATGTAATATGCACCTGTTATGGTCTATTACACTGTCTATAATTTTAAGTTCCAAATTCAAAATAACAAGCAAAAAGTACTAAATGGTAAATTGTGACATTTCTATCACTGTGTAAAAGGCATATCATTTTTAATTGAATTTATTGGGGTGATATTGGTTCATAAAACCATACAGGTTTCGAGTGTACAACTCAATAAAACACCATCTTCATGCTGCATCATGTACTCATAACCCAAGATAAAGTCTTTTTCCATCCCCCATTGACTCACTTTTTCCACTTCCACAACAGTATGGCTATTATCATACTGTTGTCTGTGGCTACTTAGTTCCCTCACTTTTTTTCACTTACCCCTTAGCCCTCTCCCCTCTAGTAGATGTTAATTTGTTCTATGTATTTATGCTTCTATTTTTATATTATTTGTTATATTATTTTGTTCATTACATTCCACATATAAGTGAGATCATTTGGTATTTTTCTTTCCCTATCTGGCTTATTTCATTTAGCATAGTAATCTCCAGGTCCATCCATGTTGTCCCAAAAGGAAGTAAATACAGTCTCCTCAATAAATGGTTTTAGGAAAATTGGACAGCTACATTAAAAAAAATGATACTAGGCCACCAACTTACACTATACACAAGAATAAATTCAAAATGGATAAAAGACTTGAATGTAAGTCACGAAATCATAAAAATTCTACAAGAAAACCTAGGCAGTAAAATATCAGACATCTCTCGTAACAATATTTTTGCCAATATATCTACTTGAGTCAGGGGGGGAAAAAGCAGAAAATAAACAAAAGGCATGCCATTTTGTATTTTTATCTTTTACTACATTAAGCAACACAGATTGAACTATTCTTCATCAAACAATTTCCTGTTCTTTCATATCTACTTTTGTTTCTTTTCTGACAGACTCTTGACATATCCTTACCTAATGCCATTAACCTTGACTCTGTTCTCTACCTGTTGTATAACATCTTATGTAGGAAGTCATTACCAGCTAGAATATTTTCTCAGCATTAAATATCAGGAAAAAATAACAAAAACATTTGTAAAAGGCAAGTCTTGCCATAATGTAATATCAAAAATATGATTGGCTGTCACATTATTCAATAAATCTGAAATCACAATGGTACCAATGCCATAGAAAACCATAATATAAGATGGCAGAAGAAAATGTTATTTAATGTAACTTCAAACATTTAAATCCCTGAAGGGCTTAATATTTTGCCTACAGGTCTTCAAAAATTTTATACATTGTTTTTGCTTAAAAGAAAAATTTCCTCATGAAATCATTTTATAACATTTTATTTGTAGTTTTTATTGTGGTCATCTCCCCATCAGTTCTTCTACCTCTTCCCTTTGCATTGTTACCAAAATCATATCTCCATAGCAGTAGCCCATCACTGTTTAACCCAATTATAACAATGCCATCATTCTTACCACAAAAGGTTCCATAGCAAAGGGATAGGATCAGCAATGAACAAGTGCACAATTAAGATGAATGAAACCTAAGGACAAATTAGTTGAGAGATATTGGAGAAGACATTTTCTTGTCCCTCTCAGAAAAATAATTTTCAGGAGTCAGTGTTCCTCTCTATAGATGTTGTAGACAGATGGCCACCAGGAGGGAAGGCAGTTTAAGAATAAAGTCGATCTCACAAAGGCAAATAAAAACATCCTATCTCTGGAACTTATCCTGATGGATCTGACACTTATATGAACCAATCAATCCTATTTCTTGTGTAAATTAAGTTAACTTGGATTATTGGGTCTTCTATTATTTGAAATGCACATAATGAACCCTTATTGACACATTATTATTTTCTCTTTTTAATTTCCCATTTTCCTAAAAATGTACGAGCATATTAATGTACTGTTATGACATATCTCAGTGTCAGATAATTTTGATCATAGCTCGCTAGCAGATACTTTAGAAGAAACTAACTTACAGGGATGTTTTATGAAAACAACAGTATTGAATTTGGGGACTCATCAAAACCTTAAGAAATTATGTGAAAGATCTTTTAAAATATCTAAAGCACACCAATAACAAAAGGTGATAATATTTTCTTAATTTTAATACATTGGGAAAGTATACATCTTATATTTTGGGAATGTCTTTTGTTTACATGTATAATTTATTATTAAGGCAAGCCTATTCAAGCTCCTACTGACTTGATGTATAAAAGTCTTCAATGGAATTATCTGCCTAATGCATCAAATCCAGCAATGCTTTATGACTCTCAAGACTTTTCACAATCTGGGTTCTTCCACTCTTCATACTCTCCCTGCATGTAGTGGGAGCTCACCAACATGTACCTTCAGCTCCAGACTCTTCACAGCTGTACTATCTCTCTCCCTTCCTTTCCATATAACATCTTAATTTTTCACCTGTGCTTTTTGGTCAAGCCCTCTTCCTTCTCCTCAAGTATAGAACTCTTTGAAATACATAAGCTCTGCCACAGTAACTGGTTCTAATTACATCTTATTGTGCATTTACCTATAATGCTTCTGCCTTCTTTATAATTAGTTTGTTAGATCATTGAGAGCAAGAATTAATATTTCTCTTTATAAATACCCCCCAGAGCCTAAAATACTGTGTAGTAAATATTAAATGAATACAGCTTTATTAATTAATCATGTTTTACTATTTGCTTACAGAATCTGTCACATGAAACTAGAAAAAATATTTTAATTTACTAGATGGACTAAGGGCCGCCAGATTTAGCAAACAAAAATATAAGATGTTCAATTAAATTTAGATTCCAGGTAAATAACAAACTTTTTATTGTATAAGCACATCCAGTGCAATATTTGGGGCATAATTATACTAAAAATTGTCTGCCTTATAGTTTAAAATTCAAATTATGAATTGCTTACACTTACATAGTTTTGCTAATCAAATACCATAGTAATGAAGTTCTCTGCATTGTTTCACCTGGTAGTGACAACAAATAAATTGAGTATCCTTTTCTGAAAGTCACCATGCACGCATGTGTAGAGGGAACAAAGTTAAACAACATGGCATTTCTGCCCTCAAGTAATTCATAGTCAGGTGGAAGAAGGGAAAGCCCAGTTAAGTCCAGCCTTAATGTGCAATCCAGAAGATCATCCATTGGCCAAAGCTATTTTTAGGCCTAACCCAATCCTCCTGGGCAAAGATCTAAGATGATACTGTACACTTAGGTTGTCAAAAAAGAAATATATTGGTTTTGAAATATACAGTAAATAGTTCCTGCCTTTAAAGTGTTTATAAACACCACAATTAATAATCCTACATAAAAATAATTATTTATAATTTGTTTTGACCAGCATGCTTTACTTAGAGTTTGATAATGAAGTTAGTTTAATTATAGAAGATTCTTTTTCTAGTTTCTGGATATTTAATATGCATTTTTATTTAGCAAAAGTAATGAAAATGAAAATCTTCTCCCCTCCTCACCATTGTACAAATCTTTCACAGGTAAATGCCATGTGATTAATTAATTTGAGTCATGTATTTAAGTGGTTATTAGGATCCAGTGGTTTAGATTTTGAACCTCGGTCTGCGTTAGCTAATTTCTGGTCATCAATCTTTTCTGCAATGGAGAACAAGATCCCAAGAGATAGTTTCTTTGGCTGGCGCAATGTTGTAAAGATTCTGTGAGTACATTTGTGTGTACATAAAGTTTGGTATTAGTTTTTAATGATTTTTTCTATACTGTATTTATTAAATTATTTTTAAACATCATATAATTAGATATCTGTAATAATAAAAAATTTCAAATTCCAGAAACATTTTTCCTGTGTGTGTGTGTGTGTGTGTGTGTGTGTGTAAAGCATTTCTTAGACTTAGAGTATGTAATTCAAGGTTTTGAAACAATGTTGCCTGAACATACATGCATATAAAATTTTCAGTTCTAAAATAGTACCATATTTTTTTTTCCTTTTTAAAAACACAGAAGTTATTGATCTTAAGCCACCAATCCATATTTTCTTGAAGGTCATTTTCAATTAAAATAACAAGGCATAATCTAATAAATGATCATTTCCATGGGAGTTCAATTGGTTATTAACATATCAGATGAAGTTACAAATGAAATGGAAAAAATAAAATAACAAAATAATAAAGACATTTTCCTCTTAAATATTAGATAAAATGCCACATTTTCCAAAAATCCTGACTGGTGTTTGTTAAAATAAATTTGTAATATTGATAAATAAAAAAAGATAATGAGACTATTGGGGTAACTTATACCAATTTGAGCGATTAGTCAGTCACCAGGGCAGAGGGCTATAGTTAGCATTAGCATTATGCCAAGTCTTTGGAAATTATGAAAAACTCATATACAAAGTATATTCTGGGCTGTCAAAATTACCTTGGGTAGCTCTTCAATTTGATTGGCATCTAGATAAAGCTCCTCTAATGTCCGTTCAAAGTTAAAGACCTCTTTTGGCACCTGCTGAAGGCTGCAGTGGGAGTAGTCTAAAACTGAGACAATTTCCTCTTCACCTCGGAAGCATCGGCACGGCACCAGACGGCCGATGAGTTTCCGTTTGGTGGTCATCTCCAGGCAATGCACTAGAGAGAAACAGGAAAAGAAAGACACAGTTGCTTAATCAACTACCTTCTTGTAATATTTAAAACTTAGAAATTTAATGTTGGTATATTTTTGATAATTACCTATTACTTTAAAATTTATATTGGACATGCACAATCATTGTATCATTTAATCCTTAAACCTACAAGATATGTGAGATAGGATTTATTCCCATTTAAGAAATAAAACAATGGATTTAGAGAGGATAAGAGACTTCTCAATATCGCACAGTTTTGGAATAACAGAACTGGGCCAACCTGTAATGTTATTTCTATGCTTATGCTCCCCCTTGAAACATGGATCTATGATATGCTTTTAGATTTACACAAATAAGAGTAGCGAACAGAAACCTCCAGAAATTGTTGAAAAAAAATACTTTTCTCCCATTTCTGCAAGTTTCCCTACTAAGGTTTATGATCTCTTCTTTTTGACCCACAAATTCATATAATCAGTCAGCATATAGTCATTGAAAAACCACTCTGTTCTAGGCTCTGATCTAAGTACTGGGAAGAGAGTGATGAATTTAATAGATTCTCTGTTTTCATGAAGCTTATGTTCTATTGGAACAACAGATCCAAGTTGGATTGGTTATGTGCTTAGAATGAGGGCCTATCTTTATGAATCCTATGATTTTAATGGGAGGAAACAATTTGTAATCATGGTAGAAACCTGTGATATCCTTGGTATGACTTTCTCTAAGTTAAAATGACTAAATACCATAAATTGTGTACAGATTTGTATCATGCACCTACAATACTTTATTAAATCTACTAGTTTTCATGTTATTCTTCTCATAGACTGTAAGCCTTTTGAGGATATAAATTGAGTTTTGTTCATATTTTGTATTTGTCTTCATGCTTGACAACAAATATAGAATGATCAAACAAATACAAGCATAAACAAACAAACAAACAAACATGTTTGGGACTCTTTCCCCAACTACATCAGGCACTGATAGTTTGATTGAAAACCTTTCATTCTAACTAAAAGGTCTCTGTCTGTGATATCTCCCCAGGAAAAATAATGAGTAGTGTCTTCCTCTCAGTTCCAGTGCACTATGTAGCTTCCTAGTTATTTGTACTACTAGAGGCCCAATGCATGAAATTCATTCAAGAATAGGCCTTCCTCCCCTGCCCACTGCTAGCACCGGCTTCCCTCTGGCACCAGGGATCCAGGTTTCCCTCGCAGCCCTGGCTTCATTTGGAAGGATATCTTTCATTGACCTCAAAGCATATTATGCTTTTATTATTAGATTTCCCTATGTAATAAGTGAGTTCTGTAGGGGCCCAGGGTAAACTACCCTAAGATAACCCAAAATGGAATATTAATTATTTTGAATTAAATTTACTTAAGAAATTATCCTGCAAGAAGAAAACCATGACCACTCTGTCCCCCTAAAAATAGAAGATATATCACCATGTGGTAGGTGCCCCACCTGTCCCGGGGGACTGACACAACCTTATTATAAGATTTAAAAGAAGCCAAAGTCTATATCAAACTAAAAAAAAACAAAAAAACTTTTGCACAGCAAATAAAAGCATTAACAAAATAAAAAGACAGCATGTGTAATGGGAGAAGTTACTTCCCAATGATATATCTGATAAGGAATTAATATCCAAAATTTATGAAGAACTCATACAACTCAACACCAATAAAACTAACAAGCGAATGGGCAGAAGACCATAATAGACGTTTTCCCAAAGAGGACATATAAATGGTCAACAGGCATATGAGATATCACTTCACACCTGTCAGAATGGTCAATAAATCAAGAAATAAGTGTTGGTGAGAAGGTGAAGAAAAGAGAACCTTCACACACTGTTGGTGGGATTGCAAATTGGTGCAGCTACTATAGAAAACAGTGTGGAGGTTCTTCAAAAAGCTGAAAATAAAACTACCTTATCATCTAGCAATTCCACTGGGAATATATCTGAAGAAATATAAAATTCTAATTTGAAAAGATATATGCATCCCTATATTTATTACAGTGTTATTTACAATAGCCAAGGTATGGAAGCAACCCTAAATATAGGTTAGTGCCTTTCATGTCTCCACAGGGGGGAATCTAACACAATAAATATTAGGTAACCAATAAATGCATCTAGTAAATCACTGACATTTATCAGGCACCTAGTACATGTTTGTAGAGCTTAGTGCAGTTGTAAAGGTAAGTGACAACTGCTTAGACTAAAATAGTAGCAGTGAGGATGGAAAGGAGTGATAAACTGAAAAGATACTTAAGAAGCATAATCAAGTGTTGGTAAAGGATGAAATGAGAGGTGAGGCTGTGGAGCAAAGGAAGCTGTCTTAAGAGGTTCCAGGTTTTCAATTTGAGTCACTAGTGGCCACATTGACTGCCGAGCTCTGATGCTGTAGAGCTGACATATACCCTGTCTGTCTTGATGACATACAGATGAGTGAAGAATCAATTTTTCATGCTTCTTGTCACCCAGTGCCTTGCACCTGCCCTTTTGTGCTGAACAACAGGTTTATTTGTGATACCCACCTTTGCTATCACCACAAAACTTTTATTATTAACCAAGATAAATGAAACAAAATCCAGGTCGGCACCTGAACACTTTGGCCAGAGAGTTCACTGTCCACCAAGACTTCTGGAATTTCATTCATTTATAACTTCTTTGTCTTTCATTGGCCCAAATGGTAGGCTCCTCTGATCATCTTTTCTGTCCCATCTCTCATCCCCACAATGTGCTGAGGCTTTCCCTGGCCAAAATTCTCTTTCTTCTACACTCTGAACTCTAAGATTATGCCTTATATCTGATCAGCTCCACTGCACCTCATCTTCTTCACTGAATGCTCCCTCCCCATCGCAGTCACAATATAAACTTGGTTGACCTTCAGGCTTTACAAGTGGAACATGATGATTTCCAAACACTTTAGGGTTGGACAGTGGAATTGTTATCCTCCTTTGTTCCCTAAAAACTATTACTTTTCTTTCATTCTGTAAAACCTCTGCCCTTTGATGGTCTTATTACCTGGTAGTAACATCACTCTGCCCTTCCTCAGACCTTCCATTTATCATCTCTTGAACATCTTCTCCACTCACTGATAAGTTTGGTATCTAATGGATGGACTATTTCTCAATCACAATTCTTTCCCTTCCTGATTTATGCCCCCTACAGATAATAACTTACAACGTTTTAGAGATTTGTTATTCTTACCCTAAAATTCTAAATAACTTGATTGACATTGTTACTACTGACTTTGCAATTACAGGTTTCGAGTGTAAAATGTGGCAATTTATCTTTCTTCTAATAAATTTCCACATACTTCTAATCAACCAAACTATTGTTTTAAATTAATCGTATTTATTTTATGATGACTATATTCCACTGCAATTCAATCTATTTTATTTATTGTGCATTTTTTGTCTTTAAAAATTGCCTCTTGTTTTCTTTGGTTGGGTTTTCTATGTACCTTCCACTAATTCAACATCCTATCTCCTCTTGGTATAGTCAAACAAATGTAATTTGATTTTTAATAATTTCCCACTCCCCTGAAATAATCCTTTAGGAGCAGTCTACCTTCCTGATCCTGTCTTGGTTGGTTACGTTTGGCTTTCTAGAGTTAATGGAATATAATACACAACATTTAATAACTTACTGAGAAAGCATTTATGATAGGTACATTTTATAAAAACTTTGCATGTCTGAATTTGGTTTTATTTCACCCAAAAGCAATTGAAAGGTTGGTTGAATATATACTTCCAAGTCAGAAATAATTTTCCTTCTGTATTTGAAGGCATTTTTATTTAATATTTCCTAGCTTTGAAAATGGTTGCCAGAAAATCCAGTCACATTACTATTCAGGAAATATATGTTAACACTATTGTCATACATTCCTTAAAATGAATTAAATGTACATTTCTATAATAAATATTTTTAAACTAAAAAAACAACAACAATAAAACAAAATCCCATTTTACACCCACATTCCCTTCCACTAGAACATTTTAGAATTTTTCTCTTATCTGTAGTCTTTTGAAATTTTATGAAAATGTGCTTTGATGTGTTTTGTGTGTGTGTTTGTGTGTTTTATTTCTTTTAATTTCATTGTACTGGATACTTCATGGGCCCCTTCAATTTGGAAGCACTTATGCTTTAGTCCTGTCAAATTTTCTGTTATTTAATTGGTAATTTATTCCTCTGCTGTTTTTATTTTCTCTTTTTATGCAATTCTGATAGCTGGACGTAGACCTTACCTTTTAGATTTGGTAACAATTATTACTTTTGCTTGTAATTTCCATATCTGTGTCCTTTTATTCTATTTCTCTGGGAGAGTTTCTTAACTTTATCTTCTAAATCTATTGACTGTATTATCTATATCTGATAGCCTATTTTTACTTTCCAAAAGTTATTTGTTGCTTCCTGAACTGGTGCTCCTCTTTCGTAGCATCCTGCTTGTATTTCAGGGGACCATAAAATGTTCATGTTCACCAAGAAGATATTAACAATACATGTTCAATCTTTTTTCCTCCTGTTTCTTGCATTATTTCTGAACTCTATTTTCTGTTTGTTTATTTAGGTCTTTATCTTTCATGATTGGGCTTTAAAAAATATCTGGTGATCCCTGGCTGTCCTTCAATATTGAAGAGTGAAACTCTAAAACGTTAATTGGAAGCTTTGTATGCATAATAGGTTTCACTGCAGGATGGTCTGGCAGAAAGCCAAAGAATATTCTCATCTTCTGTCTGGGGCATAGCTATGCAGTTTTATATATAGAAAAATTCATTCAATTTTCCTATTTTCAGTAATACATCTCTTCCAGTTCCTTTCCTGGTACCTGTTGCCTTTAAGACTCAAAGGAGATCTAGGGAGTAAATTACTTTTTTTGTGTCCCTTTGAGAGTACTTTATAATGTAGCTAATAATGTACTTCGCATGTAGATGAATATGAACTACATCTTCATTTCCTGTCTCCTTAAAATTTGTTGAAATTTCTTACCTCCAGATGTCTTTCAT